TCAAGATTCATAGTTGCCTGGTACATAATTTAAGTGCACTTCTAATTTGGGTGGTCTCGTGATTGCTCTCAATAGGACTTGACATCTTGGTGCAGATGTGTAGGATCAGACTGCACATCTTGCATCAAATGACCACCACTATTCATGCTATTGTAAGGTGGAAAAAGGAGGATGAAGCTGGGGATTTGCATGGCACAGAAGTACAAAAATATATTTCAGAAAAGTGGATGTTGAATAATTTAAGCATAATGAGAAATGTCCAAAGGAATGAAGTGCTACAATCCAGGCTGGTGTTTTTTGGTTGCTTTTTTTTTTTAAGTGGCATGCTATCTTCTTTTCCCAAAAGGGAAGCCATGTCTGTCTTTTGCAGCAGAAACAACAAAGAGTTTTTATCTTTCAACCCAGCAAAGGGTTGAGTCTGCCTGTCTGTGGGCTTCTTAATGTCAACTAATTTGAATTGACTGACTTGTATAGTATCTCTGCTTTCCTGTATTTGCTCATCTTTTAATCTCATCCTGCAAAATGTTCCACCCCCACAAGATCTCTCTCTATTATCTTCACTGTCTGATGAAGTAGGCTCCTGTCTACAAGAACTTATGCTGCAAGAAATTTGTTAGCCTTTGTCACAGGAGTCTTTGGTTGTTGTTTTTTAATCTACTCTTAGCACTTCCATGAATTAAATCAAGATAGGGCCCTCCAGATGGTGTTGCACTACAATTCTCATCACCCTGACCATTGGCCATGGCAACTGGGGCTGATGGGGGTTGGAGTCTGGAAGGCCACAAGTGGCAACTGGAAGGCAACAAGTGTCCCATCCCTGAATGGTTAGAATAACTCTGGCTTGCAAGTACCGGTAATATGAATCATAGCCACACATAGACTCAATAAATGCCCTGGCCACAGTTTTTTGCTATTTTGCAAAGCACTGTGTTTACATCAATTTAATCTTAAGTCAGGGCTGGAAGGTTGCAAGAAGCATCCAGTCCAGGAGACGGCTTTGTCTCGCTATTAGGAGTTTTTTGTAATAGGATAATAAACCTCATATTCTGTGCATGCTGTAGAGCTGAAGAATGAATCCCTATTCCAGGGGTCGGCAAGGTTTACCTCGCCTGGGACAGTTCACTCCAGCGGAGATCCCTCTGTGGGCTGGATCACGTGCGCACATGAGTACGCCCGCCCGCGATTTCCAGTGTCTGCGCAGACACGTTTTCTGGTGTCTGCATCTGTGCAGACGCGATTTCTGGTGCCGCAGAAGTGAGTCCCCGTGCTGTGCCGGTTTAGCACAGCATGTGGGGACTTGCTGAGTGGGCGGCTGGGTTCAGGGCAGCTCGGGGGCCGGTTAAATGACCCCTGTGGACCGCTTGTGGCCCATGGGCCTTAGGTTGCCAACCCCTGCCCTATGCTTTGGGAGTTATGCATCACATGCGAGTTCTGCTAAGCCCCCCCCCCCGTGTTGTGTTGTGTTGTGTTGTGTTTTTAAAGGGCTGGACCATCCTTGCTGTCCTCTTTAACACAACTGATGTCAAGATCACCACCATCTCATATTTCTTCCAAGGGCTTCAAGGTGACGCATCCAGGCTTCCCCTTCCCCTCACAACAGCCCTGCAAATTAGATTAGGCTGAGAGCTAGTGACTGGTCTAAAGCAGGCACCCCCAACCTGCGGCCCTCCAGATGTTTTGGCCTACAACTCCCATGATCCCTACCTAACAGAACCAGTGGTCAAGGATGATGGGAACTGTGGTCCAAAACATCTGGAGGGCTGAAGGTTGGGGATGCCTGGTCTAAAGTCATCTAGTGAACTTCACAGTTGAGTTGGGATTTAAACATGGGCAGTCCTAAATTAGTGTGCGCAAAATAATTATTTCTTTGAACCAGTCAATGTGAAAGTACTTGCCCTACTCCTGTTTAAGAAGTTGGAAATTCCTGCTTTATGTTGATCAGAAGCAGACTTGACATGGTCCAGGTCAAATTAGATGCAACGTCATCGATGCAATTAGCAACTGTTCACTAGTTTTCAAAAAGCAAATTGTAGGCATGGGGTCTCCCATCTGAACTCTGATGTGGGGAAGCGGGTTTTGTTAAATTCTTTGCCCCTGCTGCAGCCCATCTGGATTTTGTGCCTGCTATTTGCATTTGGGGTGAAAACTCTTATTCCTTTAAATGGCAGCTGTATCCACAATGCAAATCAGGAATACGGGGGTGGGGGTGGCAATCTGGATCAGAACTGCAGCAAGGGGCAGAAGGTATAAAACAAAAAACAAAAACCCTACCTGCATACCATGGTCCTACTCCTGATTGGGACCCTTGCACCTGCGATTTACTTTCGAAAAGCAATTAATTCCAAGTACTAATTATATGAACGGCGTCACATCTAGTTTGGCCTGCCCTGCAGTAAGAATCTGATGCAACGGCATCACTGAAGTTCAGCAGAGTTGCATCTGGTCAGTGCCTGAATGGAAGACAGCTTGAGCTACTTGTGTATGCTTCCTCTAGCTTTGTGAAGGAAAGGTAGGGTATAAATGTAAATAATAAGAACAAGCCAGTTTTTAAGCTACGATTCTCTATAAGGGAGTTTTACATAACTTAATTTTTAACCCAATATTTTATGGGAATTTTCTCACATGAAGAAACACAAAGATGAGATCACCATGGGCTGCACTTTCTTAGAAATGGAACGACAGCAGCATCAGTAACAACATCAAAAAAGAACTGCTGGAATACATGAAACTCCAAAACTCAGACAAGGAAGAGGTTAAAGCTGTAGGATGAAGCCAGGATAATATTCAGATTCAGTTAAGGCTATATATAGAAAGTAAGGGAAGAACCCTAAGCTGGATTGATTGTGTTTGGAAGGGAACCAGAGAGGCTTTATCCAAACAAGCTGAAGGAATGCACCTTTGGCAACTGACTGTAATAATAATGGATATAAATAGTATTCCATAGCATAAAAAAACCTCTGGCATTACAGCCATTGTAGATAAACAGAAAGGCTGTATTTCTGATAGCCAGCCTACTAACTGCAGAATAATGCAACTCTCTTCAGATTATTCCAAGTAGTTTGAAGATAATGCTAGTCTTGATTAGCTGCTTAATTATCAAGAGGCTGGCTGATGTAGAATCATCATCATCATAAATTAACACTTTACAGATTTAAATAAAATAGCAATATAGTTGGCAACAGTGTTCAGCTTGAACATCTGGCCTGCATTGAAAATAAATCAAAGTAAATCCCATCAAGAAGAGAAAAGGAGTGTCAGTGTGCATGCAAGCAATAATGGCAGCCTGGAGCTGGCATTGGACAAGGTGAGACAGTGCTACAATAGGGATTCAATGTTTATACCCTGCCTTTTTTCTAAGGAGCTCAAGGCAGTGTAAGTGGTTTCTACTCCTCTGTTTTATCCTCAACAACAACGCTGGTACTAGCTAGGGATGAAGGGAATTGTAGTCCAACAACAGCTGGGAACCCAAGTTCGAGAAACACTGTGAGTTTAACTTCTATGCCACAGTCACACTGGCTCTCTTCTTGAGACATGTCTGAGCCACACAGTCAAGGACTCCTCTCACATGGGGAAGGTTGTAGAGAGAAAAGGAAGTCAAATATCGAAGGATAAAAGTGGGGAAAGAGAAAGTGTTTTGGTATTGTTGCAAACCACTGTGATAATTTTTTATGATACAGAGGCATATATTTTTATAAATACTATAAATAAAATAATCAAAGTCAGTCTAATTTAGCTATGTATATATCATCTGCTTGAGCAAAGTCTTGAGTTTTAGAGCATGTGCAGAGTTCTTTACCGAGGAGTGATTCTGAGAGCATCTTTGGACCCCTGATTAGATGCTTTCACGAAGAAATACTGTGTGTAGCACAGTGGGAGAAACAGATGAGGAAGAGGGCGGGTGGAAGATGGTTTAAGAAGTTCACCTCCAAGGGTCCCGCAGCAGTGAAGCTGGCCTTTGAACTATTTGAAAAAAATATATATTTGGATTTGTAGTATAATGATGCGCACACACACACACACACGTGCACACGTACGTGCACACACATGTGTTCAGTTTGATGGAAGTCTAGCTTAGGAAAGCCCAGGAAGCAGATTTATTTACACAGTGGTAACACAGCAGGACATAGGAAGAAATGCGCGAAGCATGGAGACTTGGATATGAAGAGAGTATAGAAGCCAGTTCTGATGTGGCTGGTTGCTTCTTTCCCCTTACTTTGCAAGCTACTACTTTCAGAAGCGAAAGGAAATCTGTCATAAAGGCTGCTTCTGCAGAAACAAAGGCAAACCGTATTAAATTACTCATGTCTTCTCTCCCTCCCCCGTCTGTTCTGTGGTTCACCTGCAGGGTCTGCCTCTTGTCCGTTCTCCCGAATGCAACAATTGTAGGGCTATTTCCTGATTTTTTTTGCAATGATGGGCCAGATCCGAGATATTTCCAACCTGCTGGTCCTTTGGTTTTCTATAGGGAAAAAAATCTAGCGGAGTTTGCAGAGACGGGGACATGGGTGTAGTCAAGATTTATTTGGGGGGAGGCATTATGGGGGGGGGGGCAAAACCGAGTTATCTGTGACACAACTGCTCAGTTAGTTAATTATTTCTATTTATTTACTTGATGGGGGGGCCATGGACGGGGAGCAGCATTTTCCAGCCTAGTAGTTAGTTAGTTAAAAATACAGATGTGTCGGGGGCGCTCAGGCATATCCGGAAACTACGAATCCTGCAGTCTGGAAGGAAGGCGTGCCTCTTAATCCCAGATACAATACGAAGCGCCACTGTAGTGAAGCGAATGTACTCTGCGTGTGCTCAGAAGCACTCATTACCCTGCATGTACCAGGGCTGAACCCCGGTGTAAAATACAAGCTAAGGGCTGAGAGCTCTGGTTGGCCCGTTTCTGCCCAGTCTGCAGGATCCCGGGAGAAAGACGAAAGAGGCCAGCACGCCATATTACTCTCTCTCTGTTTTCCACCCACAGAGGGGAGAAAACTGCCTCGGCGCTCAGCCGTCCGGAGAAGGAGGTCGCTGTTGCCTCGAGGATCCGAGCGCCCCCCTCGGGCGCCTCTCTCCGCCTTTTGTTCCCAGACCGCGCGCGCGTCACCGGCTTAGCGGCTGGGCGGAGAAAGCAGAAGAGGGGAGGCAGGCGGAGGAGCTTGTTGCTGCTGCTGCTTTCGGCGAAGGAAGCACCGTCGCGGCGTGGCGGCAGCAGCGGTTTAGCGGCCAGCCTGACCCTGTTTCGCTCCGGAGAGACCTGTCTGGGGAGCGCGCAGCTCCGGAGAGAAGACGGAGCGGGTTTCCTCGGGCGCGAGGATGAGAAGCGACTGTGGCCCCAGAGCGCTCCGGGGCCCCCAGTGAGGAACCGGCAGCGCGCCTACAGCCCGCCGGGGATGGCAGCGCCGGCTGAGGCGGAGTCCAGCCAGCCCCTCGCCTCGGCTCCAGCGCCGCCGCCGCCGCCGCCTCCCGAGAAGAAGAAGCTCCAGCGAGCGCCGTCCCCGGCCAGACCCAAGGATGTCCCCGGCTGGTCGCTGGCCAAGAGCCGTCGCGGCAGCCACCCGGGCTCGCCCGCCTCGTTCTCCTCCGGGAAGCCGGGCGCGGGGGGCGGGCACTCGCGCCGGGCTGGGGGCGCCAAGGATGGCCGCGGCGACAAGAAGGGCAAGGCCACGCCGCCGGCGGGGGCCAGGGGCGCCGGGAAGGGCTCGGCAGGCCGCGCCGGGGCCCGAATGAAGGGGCGGAACCGCCTGGCCGCGGCGGGGGGCGAGGGGGCCGCGACCTCCGGCGGCTCCGCCAAAGGGTCGTCGCCGCGCCCTCAGCTGCCGCTCGCCCTCACGGACAGCAGCTCGGAGGTGTCGGACTGCAGCGCCTCGGAGGAGGCCAAGCTGCTGTCGCTGCTGGAGCTGGGCGGGCTGAGCGGCGGCGGCGGCAGCGACACCGAGTCGCCCCCGAGCAGCAGCGCCCCGGCCCAGCCCGCCAGCGCCTCCGCCGACGGCGCGTCCCCGCTGCCCGAGGACCCGTCGACGGCCGCCTCGCTGGCCAGCAGCCGCCTGCCTCTCAGCGCCTCGCTGGCCTTCTCCGACCTCACCGAGGAGCTGCTGGACGCGGGCGTCGCCCGGGAGCTGGAGGAACTGCGCTCCGAGAACGACTATCTCAAGGTGAGGGGCGCTGGGTTCGCTTCAGGGCAGCTCGGCGGGGAGAGAACGAGCTCTCGGGAGCTGCGCTTCCCCACAAAACACCCGCCGGTTTCCCCATAGCAGCATCGTGCAACAGATCCCCTCCCCGACCCTAATCTCCGAGCCTCGTGGGACAAGGGAGCGGGCACCAAGCGGACCCAGGAGGGGCAGGCGTGTCCTCATCCGAAAATAAGTCACGCCCCTCCTCTCCAACACCCCTCCCTCCCCAAAAGGAGGAACCCCCCTTAACTAAATTTTAAATTAAACAGGTGTTTTTCAGCAAATCGAAACATTGACACCCCCCCTGCACAGGGAAGACATATTTTAAGCTTGCAGGCCGTTATCCCTGTGGAACATGTTGCACATCCTTAAACATGACATCTCCCTGCAGCCCTGGTCTGCATGCAGAAGGTACATAAGACAGCTTCATGTGTTCCTAAAAGCAGCAAACGTCTTGCTGTGCACCACTGGGAGACCATTTCTTGCCTTCCCCTCTGTGCCTGGCATTGCATTACTGAAAAAGGCTTCTTCATCTTGCTGTGTGGTAGGATTAATGCCCCCTTTGTAACAGATCTTATGTGCCAGATATATTGTGACCTTAGGCAAGACCTGTTGCCACCCAGAATTTCAGAATGCTTCCTTGGAACTGGCGCTCTGCAATGAAAGATGATCTCCACCGCCCAGCATCTACAGGATGCTGGTTATGTGGAACATGCCCACATCTTCAGAGGCAGCACCTGCTGGCTTTCTAAAGCTCCTTGTAATTGGCATTCCTCTGCCTCATGGGGCAGTTCCTCCCCCAGCCCAGCATCAGTTCCTTGGAGCAGACACTCCATAGTGTCAATTACTTCTCTTCTCTAGAATCAAATGGAATAGCTGCCCCTCGGTCATATGTAACTGAGGCTTTGCATCAGCTTCTAGCACAACAGAGCCCCAACATATGCAGAACCAGATGCCTTCTAGTGACATTAAGACCTTCTCTGGTATCAGAGAAAGCCATGTTGGTACTGATGCCTCTCATTCCTAAAGAAGGTATTGTATAGCATCATAAAGCCCCAAGGAGAAATATTCTTCATCTCATCAAACAGAACTTGCATATCCTTAGAGGAAGATATCTTCTATCTTGAAATCAAAGCTAATTCCTCACATCCCGGCATTTATTTCAAATTCTTTGCTGCCGGAATCAAATTCATAGTTGTCAGCGTCATGCTAAAAGGTGCCCAGGATTTTCTCTTGTAATAGCTTGACTCACATCACTGTTTCAGGGAAGGTAGACTTTGGGGCCTAATTAAGCAAATACTTCCAGGGGCTATGTGCAATTTCTTAGGGCTGGTTGCAGGTTACGGTATTTTATCATCATAGGGAGCCACTTCCCTGTGGTGACTCTGTATCCAAGTTGTAATGTAAAGCACAGCTCCTGATTGCTGAAGAGTTTCCACTGCATTACTAGGAATGCCTGGCTGTGGCATAGAGGGTCTGTGTAGAATCTGAGGAATCTGTATGATGAGTGTTACTGGTTATGACAGCTGGGACACAGAGTTGTGCAGAAGTCAGGTGAATGTGTTGAAGCACATCCTTTGACAGATATGTTCCCAAATCTACATTTGCGAACGCCTGGTGTATATGGCATTTCCAGGGGAGAAATGGTGAAAAGGGATGTTTTAACCACTCACATGTCTGCAGATTTTTCTTTGTAAATCCCCACTGGAGACATTTTCCCATCCTCCTTTTTCTGCTAAGCTTACTTCTGATTTCAGAGCCTGTCTGGATAAAAAATGGTGAAAAGTGACCAGGGAGTGGATGGATTTGTATGGAAAAAGACTGGTAGGGAAGATGTGGGAGCTGGGGGCTATTTGCAGGGAAGAACCAGTGATTCTCTCCTGCAGGCACGCTCTCTTTCCACTTGCCAATTCTGTATTGTGAATGCCCTCCTACAATAGCATGATGAGTGAATCGTGAACCCCATGTTTCTATTGTAATGTGTGGTTCTCTTCTTAATTACACTTGGTGGTGCACCTCTAAGTTCCATAATATTTATTAGTTTTGAAATTCCCAATCTGGCAAACAGATGATCTGATGTGGGGCAGCATTTGCATTCATCTCTATGTATCAGAATTTCCCATTTTGGAGGTAATTAAGTTTTTGCAGGGTTTATTTAGTTTCAGACACACACTTGGTCCTGTTGGGTGTGCTCCCTTTCCCCACCCAGAAAGACACATTATATTTATATAGCTCTATACAGACTTTCAGGGCCCATCCACATGGAAATTTCTAAAAGTTTTAGAAGCACTTTTAGTATGCTTCTGGACTCTCCCATACATCCACATGTTGTTGTTGAAACTTCAGCATTCTCTTATATTCCTGGCTGTCCACGTGCAGATGGGCTGATCTGTCAGATATTGGCATCAGTCATGCATTCTACAATGTCAGTGCATTTTCCATCTTCAAAGTGGGGAAAATGTACCTGCTTTCTTGGAGGATGTTTTCCATGCTTCTGGTTTTTAGCTTAATTAATAGCATGGAAAGCTACTTTGCAGATGTGTCCCTAGAGTGACTTGGAGGAATCGTAGTGTTTGGATAATGTAAGAATATTGCTAGACATGTAGCCCTGTGCTTTCTGGAATGGTAGGGAGTCTTTGGGCTGTTGCCAAGCTCAGCTTTTGCCTTGCTTCTCTTGGTAGTACTACTGAGCAGTGATGGGTTTATTTTGCAGGATGATGTTGGCATGGCAACGGTAGTAGGTGTTTATTGAATGGCTGCATATAACAACCAGCTCAGATAGTGGATTAGGTTGCTGGCTGAAGCACAGGCTCTTAGTGCCTCTGAGAGGTCTGGCAGGGTGGAGAGCAAGAGTCCCTTAAGTGTAAGATTATATTGTATAGTATTTGGAAAAAAGCAACCAATATGTTGGTCTAATCTGATTTATATAAAACAAGCTAGGAAAAAAATCATTAGATATAGAAGATGGTTGTGCAACCATTTTTCTGGGGGATGCTTTATCTACCCAGGTCTCGTTCTTGCCTTTCAGAACAGTTGTTCTCCACTCTTTTAGCTAGAAGAGCCAGCAGTGGAATCTTGGCATTCGGTGGGCGTGCATCCATGTGTAGGGTATCGCACCTGAGAAAGTCATCTTTTGCAACATCCATGGCTGAGAGTCCTTACTGACCCACTTGGTGACTCAGCCCTCCCCCATTTAATTACTGTGTTGGTCATTCCTACTCCCATATACTTTCAATCTGTGTCCTGGGTTTGCAATGTGCATGATTTCTAACTACTATGTTCAAGTAAGTGTTGGCTCCTATTTTTCCTACAGGCATTCCTTGTCATTAAACAAATGCTGTGTCTGTTCAGGTCAACCTTACCTTTGGGGGCGAGGGGCGAGGGAGGAGTAGAACAAGGGTTGTTTTGATGGTTTAAATACAAAACACCTGACTTCACTTTCCTTGCTATTATTATCTGCATTCTAACTGTTGAAAGCATAATAGATAAATAAAATTGTCCAGTAGCACCTTAGAGACCTGTTGAAAGTATGTCAGTTCCACAACATCAGGGGTGGTATTAAATTAAGCTTTACCCTGAGAAGACCCATTGGAATTAATGAACTTAACATAGCCCTGTTGATTAATTTCAGTGGGTTTATGCTATGTAAAACATAGTTGAACACCACCCACACTCAGCTCTTCCATAGGATTAGACAACTACACCCGGTGGCATGATTCAAGGGACAGCCACATTAGACGTTCCAGCACACAAATATTGGCTCTTGATTTGCCCCTTGCAGTTGTGACACTCTTAGTTCATGGATGCCCTTTCTCTGCCTCAAGGCCACCACTATGTTCTTCCTGCTTCTATTTGGAAGTTATGGATCTGAATATTTTTTACGCTAGAATTACACAGGCTTATAGTGTAAACCCATCACACCCACATGTTTTATATGCGTGCAGCTCATTCTGATTTCAGAGGCTGGTGAACTTCTGAGCTATAGGGCTGGGGACTGCTTATGTAGAGTCAGTTCATACAAAGCCAAATAAAGTAGTTGGTAATTTTCTTCCCTTCTAAGCAAAGGGGAAACTGGCAGGAAGTCAAGACTTAATTTAGACTGGCCCTTCTTAGTATTCTGATATAAAACGGCTGTGCAGATTCAAAGTTGCCATGGTAATATAATAACATGCCATGCTAATTGGAAATACACAAGGACATTTATGCTAAAAACTGTGGGCATGATTAACAGGGCAATCCTATATATGATTCCTTAAAAGTAAATTTTAAGGAGTTTAACTGCAGTTTCTTTCTAGTAAATGTGCTTAGGTAGGACTAGAGCAGAACACTGCAGTTCTATACATGTCTACTTAAAACTAAGTCCCATAGGGTTTAATGGAGTATAGGATTGCAGCTTAAGTCTCACTTGATTTTAGTTTGATATAATTAAGCGTGCACTTCACACACTCACTAAAATCTTAGGGACATTTACTGTTGTTCGAGACTTGGCATTTCTACATGTTTGGTGATACGTCTGCTACTGTAAGGGTTGATTTTATCAGCCTTTGAAACTTAGCACCTTGTAGTTTGTTTTCACTCTAGTCAATTTCAGTCTAGTCAATTTCAGCTAAATTATTTTTTCTCTATAAATATTTATTTTGGTAATATGATTGGTGACTAAGATAAGAAAGACAAACTTTGCAAGAGCTGATCTGCTACTTCAAAGTAGACCTACCGGTATTTGCAAAATCTCAGTTTCTGTTTGATTAATTGACATGATCAAGATAAGCTTTTCAAATTTACTAGAGCATAAAAACAGAGTAGTACAAAGACCACACGTTCAATTCACAGTAGTCTTAAAATACTGTATGGCAATACAAAGTGTCACAATGTGTCCCCCCCCCCCTGTCTAACATCTCAAGAGATCTGGATGAATACAAACTATTAGATTTACTTTCAGCAAGGCTAGCATTTCCAAATCAAGTATGCTTGAGCTGCCAGTC